CGTACTCTTACATAGGTACATACCACTCTCAGTCCCTCAGCAAATGAATGTTTACGCTTCTATTTAGCTTCCAAAAATTAATATCTAAAAGTGCGATTTGTATCCATCCATCCAGCCATATATGGCTGGCAATTCCATGCTCAAATTACGCTTTAAATGGGAAATTTTTCTATTCGAATTTTAATTAGATGGCTACCTCTATGACCTGAGGTTGGGCTACAAAATTGACAAAAACCCTGCCAATTGGGTAGCACTTATCTACACACAATTTTTGCTGCATATCTATTTTTTATTTATTTATTTATTTTTTATATATTTATTGTCTAAGGCTCAACTAGGGGCAGTTAAACTAAGGAAAGAACAAAAATTACATGCATAAGAGAGCATTGACTATGGCTATTACCCTGACCCGATGGCTCAAGCAGCCGCCATGGTCCAACTGACAGCCAAGTTGTGGTCAGAAAAATAACCGATAGCGTATAAAGTTAAGAATAAATTGAATTAGATTATTCGTTAACAAGGATTTGAGCTTAGTGGTACTAGAGTCAAAGGAAAACATATGAAAATAGTTACGGCAAAGGCTACGGAAAGATTCATAGTCAGAGTAATTAGTAATTAGTAATTAGTGAAATATTTAGCATTCATTTGTCAAGTTATTAAATGTAAATATCTTTTCTGTTTTCTTGCTATCAATTCGCGTAGGCATCACATCTGACGTACGTTACCAGATTCCGGAATATAAATAATAAATAAATTAATATATTGGACAATTTTCTGGTATTTTCTTTGTGCAATAAATAGTTCAATATATTAGAGACTTTTTGTGGCTAAACCTGCAGCAAGAAACATTTTGCTTATAGCTGATAAAAATAAAGCAAAAAATGGCCATAAAAAAGGTGAATAAAAAAGGAGAAATAAAAAAAGTTACCTTGATGCTGAGTTAAAAACGGTTTTCACGTTAAGGCTAATGACATTTTTTTTACCCATAAATAAACTCATAAGGAGCAAATTGTGGGCACAAAATTATGAGGATTTGTGTGTTTTAATTCGGATTTAATGTTTTTTGGCCATTCAAGAAATATCTTTCGATCAGTCATAATAATGTGGCAGCCTGTTGTATTATTATATTCTCGCAGAGGGTGCCCCAATGGAGTAATCCTGCCTAAGGACATATGTTTCCGGAACAGTAAAGCAGCTTCGAGCAGCAGCTCTCTGAGTGGCATTTAATCCGACTATCGACTGCCATTAAACCGCATTGCATGACTTCTTAAGCCCTGCTCGACCTACGACAATAATCAATGTACGATTAATACCTGCACACATACATACATACATACATATGTATGTATGCACGTGTATGTGTGTGTGTGTGTGGCTGCTACGCGACGTTGGATATCTGCAATCTCTGACAGCAGAAGCAACGAAATATATAATTGGAATTAGCGTTAATTAAAAAGGAACATGGCGAAAAACGTACCACCGGACAAAGGAAATACCCGATGCAAATACACCTGTAAAATGGGGGGGGTGGGGAGGGGGATGGGACAAGCACACACACAACGCCCCCCCCCTTTTGCGGTGTTAGCTGCATGCGGGTGCCTGCCATTCAATCAATATCCATCCAGAGCTTGTCAAAGTCCGCTTCCTTTACCCTATCCTCTCCCCTTTTGCTTTTGCTTTTCCGGCTATGTGCATGTGACCAGCATCGCCATCGCCATCGCCCATATGTAAAACCCAACCGACTGTGCCCAATATCCAGCAGCTATATAGCTATATCCTGCACCTATAGCTCGATTTTTGTCGCCCATACATATCGGCCCGGCCATGCCACGCCCATGCATGTTAACGCCTCCACCAATTTGATTGGCCAACGGAGCAGCGCCCACACAAAAAGCGAAAAAAAAAACAACAACAAAAACACCAAAGGAATAACAAAAAAATAATAAAGAAAATAAAAGAAAATGAAGGAAAACAATTATTCGTTTTTGCACTGCAAAAAAAAAGTTCCAGCTGTATGCCCTATAAAAAGCGGGTTGGGTCCATGGACTATTCAGCGGAAGGCTGCAGCTAAATGAGCAATAAAATAATTAAAATATAAATTTATAAATTATTGCTGATGCAGTGCAGGAAGGAAATATTTTTGGGCATACAAAATTATACAAAATATTCCACTGAAGAAGTGTGAAATATAAAAAAAAACAAAGTCAAAGATTTCGTTTGAATTTGTTGGCATAGGCGAAACATTCCGTGTTCTTTGCAATAATTACAATATTCCTAATACAATAACATATGCCCCGAAATTTCGCTTGATATGGTTGTACGTAACACCTTAACCTAGCCAATTTTTTAAACCTTTCTCATATTTTTTATAATTATTATTATTATCCTATTATATTTTTCTTTAAGTATGTACATATATTCCTATTATAGTTCATAGTCAGCAGATAATTGTTAATTAATTGAAATAAATAAATAAACAAAAGTTATTCTTCATTCTGGCAGCTACTTTCAAGGAAAAGAATTGAGTCCCGTGTGTGGAGAAATTATATGCATAATAAACATTAATTTAAATTTATTAATTTATGTGCCCCTTTATCGATCCATAAATGCATCTATGGATTCAGTTTACGATATCGATAAATGCATAAATAGAAATATAAATTTAAATATGAAGAGCATTTTCTAGTTGTGTGGAAAACTGTGCTAACTCTGTCATTCCTTCAATTTTTGCATATTGCTTGCACTTTGCTTTTTTCCTCTTCTTTTTTTTTTTTTTTGCTCTCCATCACACACCGAAATGGACATTTTTTAATTCTTCTTTCTTCAGCTGCTTCGGCTTCGGCTTCACTTTTGTATTTTTTTTTTTTTTTGTCTTCTTTTTGTTGCTAATCAAAAAGCATAACAGGAAGAAGGCAGAAGGCAGCACCAACCCGATGGCTGGCCCCCCCCCATATATGGGGGTGGCACCAGGCGAATAGCTATATACATATATCTGTGCCAGAGACACCCTGCGGCACTCTGCACTGCCACTGCCACAGCCACATCCACAGCCACATCCTGGTTATGTTTGCAGTCGAATAAACAGCATCAATTCATCACACATGCAACAACAGCAACAAAATGGCGCCACCAGGCCCAGAACGAGGACAGAGCCCAAGCCGGAGCCGGAGCCGTGGCCGTAGCCGTAGCCGTGGATATATAGCGCACACCCAATCCTTAGATGGCAGCACACACCAAACACCCAACAGCCAACAGCCAACAGCCCCACCCACCCCACCAACAAGACAACAAAAAGTGCAACCCAATGCTGCTGCTGTTGCTGCTGCTGCTGGTTGGGTGGTTGGGTGGATGGGTGGCAGGCAAGCAGCCCCAAAGCTCGCAGCACTAAATCAACATTTCACTTTGATGAATGATGACCAATGTCCAGGCGCGGGTGTCCACGCCGATAGAGTCCTGTGCGCGGCCCAGTCCTCCACCCACACCAACCACGTGAAGGCGCCGCAGCGCAGCGCAGCATGCAACATTCACAGCACACAACAGCAACAGCAGCAACAACAGCAGCAACAACAGCAGCAGCAACAGCAGCAGCAAAAAGTGAATGAATAAAGGAAAGGGAAAAAAGGAATGGAAAATATCGCTCGCCGGGTAAAAATGGCAAAACAAGCAGAAAACTGGAAAAACTGTTGGGCGCAGCAACACACACACACACACACGCACACGGGTAGAGGGGTGGGGGTGCAAGGAGTAAAGATAGGGAAACAAAAAATTGTGCAGAAGAGGAGGCTGAAAATAGACACGAACACTAATCGAATTATTGCCACTGCAGAGGAGCTGCAGCCCATGTGCCCCCCTGCCACCCACTAACCCCACACTGACCGCCCCACCACCCACATGGCAACCCCTTCTAACCCACTGCAGTTGTCCTGCTCTCTCGCTCGCTCTCTCCCTCTCTTCTTACACACACACACACACACACATGTGGAGCAGCAGAGAGAGAGATGGATGGAGACTCGTTGCAAAAAAAATACGAGAAGTGCTTCCTCTTTTCTTGCTTTGTAATTAAAAAGAAAAATATCAAAAGAAAAAAGAAAAAAGAAAGAAAAGAAAAAAAAAAAAGCAAAGGAGAAGCAATGGAGAAGAAGCAGGCAGATGTCCTGCCAGAAGGGAGGTGTATGAGGGTGCATGGCTGGATACTGGGTGGAACCCAATGCATATGCATATGGATATGGATATGGATGCGTGGCTCTTGCTCTCTCTCTCTCTCTCTCTCTCTGTGTGTGTGTGTGTGTGTGTGCGAGTCGCCTATCGATGCGATGCTGACCAACCAAAATCGAACAGAGTCGAGAGTCGAGAGCTCTGGCCATATAGCCCAAAAAATATGTAGCACCCAGAATGCAGCGGAAAGAGCGGCGCAATAGAAGTCAACGGAGTGGGGAGGGGGGGCAGGGCGGTGCAGTCTTCCTTATGTGTACCGCAATAAACAAAAAAATATCCGAACATAAATTAAAAACGTCTGCGACAGAAACGCAAAAAACTGAAACGAAGCAAAAGCCAAGGCAGCGACACAGCCACACCACCCACAAGCCACCCACCTGCCACCCACCTGCCACCCACTGACCCTACACAGAGGAGCGTTCTCTCTCCCCCTCTCGCATAGTCGCTAATCAATGCAGCGGGGGCAGAGCCATTGGCAGCTTCTCTGCAGCCCTGCCTGATCCGCTGCCTCGTTAAAAATTCCTAAGACCCCCCCCAACCGCCACGCCCCGCTTTTAGTGCCCATATTTCCACGCCAATTAGCTGCTAAATCTTATTCTGATTGAAGGATTAACTTTGCCAGGCAGCAAAGATATTTAACAAATATTCGCAGAAGCCAAAGGTACAAAATAAATCCATACAAAAATCTATAAAGAAATCAATTTAAAAAAAATAAAAAATAAATCAATCAAGTAAGCTCTGGCTGCCTGCCTGCCTGCCTGCCTGCTGTCATTTGCACACACAAATCTCAGTTTAGTTCAGAACACACTCTCGGCTTCATTGGCAGCACACACAAAAAGCAACAAAAAATAACAACAATAAAATTAAATTAAAGAAAATTATAATTTGGATATGCCCGCCATTCGCGAATTGAACTACGAGCAGCGTCAGACCCTGCAGCAATGGCTGCAGAAATATCAGGTGGCGCTGGACCATCGCACACGCACCCAGCTGAGCGACGCTTTCGCGGTGGCGAAGCTCTTCGAGCAGGTGCATCCCGGCCTCATCGACTTCAGGGGCTATGTGTCGCGCAGCAGCCTGGCGCTGAAGAAACTTAATTGGCATATATTCAATTTGCGGACATTGAAGCCCATGAATATGGGCCTCAGCCAACGGGAGCTGCTTGGGCTGGCACGCGGCAATGGCTGGGCCCTCGAGACGCTGCTCTACAAGCTGATGAAAACCGATGATGTGGCAACGCGAGCCGAGGGCGGACAGGAGGCGGCACAGAGTGGCGACATAGCCGACTAAAGGAGAGCGACAGGTACATGGAAAACATTTCTAATTCTCATTTTTAAATCTATTTTAATGTTAAATTAACTTCATTTTGGCTTACAGAATTGCTGCGAAAATTAATTCACATTGGTAAAATGTTTCTTTCGGCTTTGAAAATTAATAGAAATATTTAAATCGTTTTAATCTGAAAAACTGGCAAAATGAGATGGAAAGTGCACACGCGATTGGCCCCTTGGCCAACTCAATTCGCAGCAAAGGCAGCACAGCAAGTCTCCCAGCAAAGACAATCCAAGGAGAGTGCAGAACATGTGCCACATGATTGGGAATGGTGGATGGATGTTGCTGCTGTTGCTGCTGCTGCTGAAAATGTCATCAGTGCGCGTGTTGTTGCTGTTGCTGTGGCTGTGGCTGTTGTTGCAGTCAATTGCATTGCAACATTTCATTTTCTGATATGAAAGATTTAAAGTTTGCAACATAAAAATGTCACGTTTTTCATGGTCGCCACAAGACCGACAACCGACAACCGACAACCGCCAACCGCCAACCGACTCCAAGCCATGTTGAACTTTTCTTGCCGGTTCTGCTGCTGCTGCTGCTGTTGCTTTGTTAGTGCGCATGTGCAGCATCATTTGTAGCAGACCTCCTGGTCACCTCAGCTCCCCCCCCCCCGGCATCCTGCTGACGCTCCGCTCTTCCTCGTTGGCTCTCCTCCTCATCTCTGTACTCCAGCTAACTTTTGCCAGTCTATTTATGTTACAATTTGGTGGCTGCCAAGCGAAAAAATGTTGCCAACTTTGCGTTTGCTTTTGCTTTTGTTGTTGCCATACCCCCACTACCCCCTGCACCCGCCATGCTGTGTATACCCTTGCAGAGGGTGTCGAATATTTTGCAATGATTTTTGGAATTTTTACAGAATTATTTAGCGCAGCCAAAGCCATGGGAGATCTATCATTTAAATATATATAAATTAAATTTAGCTGCCCATATTTAATGCTGCATTTTGTAAGGGTATCACAGCATTCGGCTGTTGCAGTTTCGCTATGGTTTTTTTTTTGTTTGTTTTGATTTTTTTTCGGGCTTGTTTGACAATGCGCGTCGTGACATCTGCCAAGGCTCAGGCTGAGGCTCAGGCTCAGGCGAATGGTGCGCCGGGGTTGCCAGGGAGGGGGAGGGGGTGGGCTGCCTAGTGGGTGCATAGTTGAGAAACGAGTTCCCCCCCCCCCCATGCCACATGCCACAGGCCACATGCATGTGCCCGATTCTTATTAATTTGGCAGAACAGTTGACGCAGTCATCGTCCACTGTGTACGCACATCTCGTGGGGATCTCTCCATCTGCATGGCTTGAACCCTGTGTAGCCTCTCTCTCTCTCCCTCTCCCTCGCTCTTTCTCTCTGTTGACTTGGCTGGCTTCATAAATTTTTATTGCCTCACTGAGAAGACTTTGACTGAGAATCAGGCTGCAGCTTCAGCTCTGCCAGAGCCTGAGACTCAGCCTTAGACTCCGACTCCGACTCGAGGCTGAGGTTGGAGGCACAGGCCGAGATTCCACTGATATGAGTTGGTAGGCAACAGCAGCAGCAGCAGCAGCCAGATGAGCCATCGGGACAGTAGCCCAGCCCCACCAGGCAGACGGCGACGGCGACGGCGACGACGACGAGCAAAGATTTCGTTTCGTTTTGTCACAAATTAAACACGTTTTTCCGCAGAACCTAATGAATAAACAAGCCCACAAGAGAGCCCACAAATGAATGAGAGCGAACAGTGGGAACTAGCGCAACGACTAGCAGATGCTCTACGGGTTGGCTGGCGACTGTCAGTGCTGATAAGTGCAGCCTCTGAGCACACACCCTGAGAGCTGTGGCTGTGGCTTACAATAATTCAAACTTAATAAGTAATTAGCCCTGCTGCACATATTTCTGGCTATGGCAGAGAGCGACTGAGGCAGAGTTCTTGCCCTTCCCCTGGGTAATATTGAAGAACAAATTGCCGAATGGTGCGGGGTGTAGCTCCCTCCAGACTCCTTCCATTGAAGCTGCCCATTAAAATGGAGCTTGGGCAGCCAAAACGCTGCTACCATTCCATTCCTTGGCATTCCATTCTTGAACATTTTTTAGGCTTAATTTCGAGCTGGCCACGCCCACAGCCACAGCCACAGCCACAGCCACTGCCATGTGGGGCAATCAACGGGGCTGTAAATAAAAAACGCCAAGCCGAACCACTTTCATCCTGGGAGCCTGCGAGCAGGGAGCCTGTTGCCTCCGACTACCTTTCGATGACATACATAAGTGTTAATTGAACATGCCACACTCACACGGCGCAGTGTGGCCGGGTCTCCATGTGTCCAGGTGCGAGTGAATGTTGAATGTTGCTGCTTGCAACATGCTGTTGCCTTGTTGCAATTACGCACTTCTAATGCAATTTCAATAATTGGGCATCAAATTTATGGGGCGACACTGCAACGATGTTGCAACAAATTACGAAGTGCGAACATCCCCCCAGTGCGGGGAGGGCATCATCATCATCATCACGGGGATGAGGAGGCGCTGCGAGAGAGGCAGCCCCCTCAGCCCCCCCTGCCAACAGCTTCAACTGCAATTATTTCTATTAAAAAATATATATACAAAAAAAAAAAAATGTAAGAGCGGAAACTTTTTTTCTGCGTTTTGTTGGTTCGGGCTGCCTGCACAAATATGAAAATTTTGCAAAAACATTTTCTCTATATAAAAATATTTCTCTTTGCTCCGCTGTGCGCCTTCTTTTTTGCTGCTGCTGCTGTTCCTCTTTCCACTTTGCTCTTGCTTACTTTATAATTGTGCTCGATTTGCATGCGAGTCGAGTGGAGTGGAGTGGAGTCGAGGCGATGCGATGCGCGCATGAAATTCTATTAGGCCACAACATTTCGCAATTGCGTGCTGATTGCCGGTTGCAAGTGCCACAGCAGCAGCAGCAGCAGCAAGTGGCTAGAAGCCAGCAGCCAGCAGCAGAAGAAGGCCTAAAGGCAGCCTAGAGATGAGCAGCAGTCTTGAGCATTCCACTCCATATACTATATAGGAACAAGAGGCGGCCCAGCAAAGCCCTCGAAAGACTCACGACACTCACAAGACTCCCATTTGATGCTTGAAGAATAAGAATAAGACAAGAAGCTCACGCTGCCATCGCCTGCAATCAGCTGGTATGCCCTGGTAGCCTCTTGGCCAATAGCCAAAAGGGATGAATCGAAAACCCTCGAGGGCCTGCCGCTGCTGCCGCTGCTGCTTTGCATGCACGGGATTATTAGTTACGGCCGCCTGAACGCATTTTGCGTTTGAAATGGAATGGAATGGAATGGAGCCCCCCTCCCCGCTACCCTCCGCAGCAGCACCCACAGATGCACCATTTATTAATAATTTTAATTAACACTAGAATTATGTTTTGCGCGTAATTATGCGAAACGCGACAACAAAAAGATTCCGCGCCCAAAGATCCAATGAATGCCGTGCTGCGAGTTTCAGCTGCAGCTGGAGCTGGAGCTGGAGCATGTGTATGCAAAGTAGTGTTCCCCCCCCCCAGAGTAGTAGCTCCCCTCTGCCCGCTTTGGCCTGGCCAATTAAGGTGTGCAAGCCGCGAACCCTGGGCCAAAACGCCCACTTTCCTTTTTCAAGCTGCCGCCCGGCAAGCCGCTGGATTTGCAGCTGGAACTGCAGCAGAATCTGCGCATTAAGAGGGAGTTAGGCGGGTCAGGCAAGCGGAACTAATCTAATCCCAGGAAGCCCCTGCCAGCCCCCGTCGTATAATCATAATATAATATAATCGCCGCTGGTGCCTCAATCAATGATTGCTGACTCTCTCTCTCTCTCTCTCTCTCTCTCGTGTGGCAGTGCGAGCAGTGTGTGAGCCGCTGGGAACCCAAGGAATTAAGGCAGCTCTACATAGGTGCTTCTAGGTGCTTTTCTGTATGATTAAAAGTTACTTTGAGTCACTTGAACATGGCATTCAAATTGATTAGGCGACGCGCCAGCAGCGAGGCCTTCGGCTCATGCCTGGGTGTTTAATTAATTGCGTTTGCTATTTAAGTCATTTAATTTGCCCTTCCAAAATTATGCGAAGCTGTACAAATATTTAAATGCATATTTAGCAGTTTAATTGTTGGCTCATTAAATAAATAAAAAATTAATAATAAATAATAATAAATAAATAATTAATAACAAATAAATAATAATAAATAAAAAAAAGTAAAATAAATAAATAATTAACATTAAATAATAATAAATAAATAAAATAAATAAATAATTAATAATAAAAAATAATAAATAAATCAAATACTAAAATAAATAATTATAATATAGATTAATAATAAATAAATAATTAATTAATAATAATAATAAATAATAATAAATATATAATAATAAATAATAATAAATAAATAATAATAAATAAAATAAATAAATAATTAATAATAAATAAATAAAATAAATAAATAATAGTTAATTAAATGATTAACCTTTGCAGCGATGCTGGAAAGACGGCCAAAAATGTTTGAAAAATGCTGTGAAAAAATTAACCCACCTTAGAGTTAACTTTTTGGTGTCTGTCTAAACTTTTGGTGCGTTGATTAAACATTTTGTGCAGATTTATTTATTAACCATAAGCCAGGCCATGGCTCGCATATCCACCCTCCCACAGGGGGGAGCAGCAATTGTTTCGCAGGCCTTTTGGCCCGTCTAATGACAACATAATTACTTTGCGCGAAAACGTTTTGCCGCGCAGCCCAATGAAATGTGGCCCAGGAACCGTTTTAATTGCAGTTCAGAGCGTGAGAGGAGCAGAAACACTGGATGCGAAATGGTAGGGGGGGGGGGGAATGGTGAAAATACAAAATAGAATGTTGGCCAACTGTGAGAGGATGTTGCCGCCCACGTTGGAGGGTTGCCGCTCCTCTGAGCAGCGTTCCAGTTGCAGTTGCAGTTGCCACAGCCGAAAAGTGCGTACAGGCAGGCAGGGTGGGGAGGAGGCGGCATGTGGCATGTGGCACGGGCCACGGACCACGGGCCACGGGCCACGAGGAACGGCAACAATCCAGTTAACAGTAATTGCTGGCGCGTCGTGTTTTCGGACCACCAATGGATTGATTAACTACGTGTTCGATATTTCAGCTCCCCCATCCCCATCCCCACCCCCAGCCGCTGCTCTTCCTGTGCTACCCCCCTGCCACTCCTCTGCTGCCCACCTCCAGCTGTGTCACTTTGGTATTGATGATGTGGCCCGGGCCCGGGACCGGGACCAGGCCCAAGTGTTCCATTCCATTCCGGCTGCTTGCGATCTGCTTGCGTTGAGCAACGCAACGCAACGCAAGTCCAAATCAAATTTACTATAATGACCACTCAAATGGACAGCGTAATGGGGCATGCAGCGCAGCCAGAGAGATGAGGAGCCACAGAGAGGAGCTGGCTGGAGACAGCGACAGCAACGGCGACAGAGACAGCGACAGAGACAGCGACAGGGAAAGAGAAAGGCCCCCAAACGGAGCTTTGGAGCAG